GGGCAGGGAGGAAAGTCTGCAACAATCAATGAATGAAAATCCAGTCTCTGTAAACTTATTAAAAGAAAAAAAAGTATAAAAAAAGGATGTTGTTGTTGTTGTTGTGTACCACTGAGTCAGAACTGACCCACAGCTGACCTGCAGAGCGTTTTCAGAGGCAGTTGGCACGGGAGGAGCGTGCCCATCCCTCTCCTATGGAGCACCTGGTGGCCTCAAATTGCATGACTTCAGGATTGCAACGCAGCCACGAGGCCATAGCTTCGGAAAATCTACTGCCTAGGATCTCTCCAAAGACTTAAAGAGCAAGAATGTCATTTTAAAGACCAAGAAGAGCCTGATTCAAGGCCATGGTCTTTGCCATTATGACTTCCTGTGCAATGAAACCTCATCTCACATATTTTGTTCAGGCTGTGAGCACAGGTCAATTCTTGGAAAAAAAGGACATCATGCTGGGAAAGATGGCAAATCAGAGAAAAAGAGAAAGACCCTTAACAAGATAAATTAACATAGCAAACATAACAAAAAGCTAAAGTGTATCACAGATGATGATGAGGGCACGGGATTGGGCAAGGTTCAGATCTGTTGTTTATATGATCCCTTACTCAGAGTTGACCCAATGGCACCTAACAGCATCAACAGTGGGCCCGAAGAACGTATTGTGCTCTTGAATGATATTTCCTTTATGACGAGTGCTATCGGGACAGGCCAGCCCTTGGCAAAAGACATCATGCTGGAAGAGGTGGCAGGTCAAAGAAGGCGAGGAAGACCCTCAACAAGATGGACTGAGACAGTGATTAAGACAATGTCGAAGACTGTGAGGATAATACATAGTAAGTCAAGGTTGCAATCTGTTGTTTATAGGGTCTCTGTGAGTACTAATCAACTCAAAGGCACATAACAATATTGAATAAATGGCTATTAAGGACCTTTGCTTGCACTTTATCTTCCTTGGAGAACTGTATATCCAAATTCTTTGCTTATTTGTAAATATTGGGGTTTATCTTTTTGCTGTTGGACTGTAGGAATGCTTTATATATTCTAGACATTAAACTCTTATCCAATATAGCCTTATCTTCAATCTATTGCAACACAAATAGTTAGAATGTGCCAAATTAAAGACATTTCTCTGACAAAGTTCAGGAGCAGATTAGGAATTGAATTATAACAGATTTTTGGGATATACTGTTTAAAGCAGCATAGATCTCATACCTGTGTGGAGATTGCTGGTTCACTCCTTTTACAGCCATGACCTTCCTAAGCCTTTACTCAAGCCATGCTTCATATTCAAGATGATAAAGAGGTCATAATGCTTCGAATGACAAAGAGGTCAGTGGAAGTGGTGTGTGAATTTCTGCCTCACTTGCTTAAAAGAGAACTCCTGCCTAGGACTTCCACGCTCTTTTTTCCAAGAGCCAGACCGCAGATGTTTCTATACTCCAGCTTCACCCATGTAGAAGAGGATCTAGAACTTTGTCCCAGGGAACAATGGAGCACTGAGATGACAGAATCTGTGTCCTTGAGTACACCCGGGAGCACTGCCCTTATCCACCTTGAAACTGGTAAGTGAGAGAAACAAATAGCTCTTTTCTTTTTTACCAAAATATATATCATTGTCAAGTGGATTCTAATCATTGCTGAGTGGATTCCAACTCGTAGTGAGAGAGAACTTCCTCCCAGCATTTTAAGGCTGAAGTCATTACAGAAACTGACGGCCACATCTTTCTCCCACAGAGCCCCTGGTGGTTTGGAACCACCCACCTTTCAGTTACCAGCACAGCACTTAACCACTGCACCACAAACACTCTACCTATGATCTTTATGCCTCTGTACAGCTTGGATCTCTTTGTTTATAGGAACTTTACCCTACTAAGACCTACACTGCCAATCCTTTCAAAAGAGAAATCATGTAACGGCTGGTGAAGACAGTTAAGGACTCTGCTGTGAACCAAACGTTTAGTGATTTGATTCTGCCCAGAGGCACCTTCTCAATAGAGTCCAGCTTCTCAAAGGATGTGTTCAGTGTACAGACTGAGTAAGTATGGAGAAAGGGTGCAAGCCCGATGCATACCTTTCCTGATTTTAACCCATCTGTTTGCATAACAGCTTCTTGGTCTAGGTATAGGTTTCGCATGACCACCATTAAGTCTTTCGGAATTCCCATTCTAATGTTAGTCATACCTTGTTATGATTTGCATAGTTAAATGCATTTGCATAGTAGATAGGATTCACACAAATGCATTTGCATAGCTGATATCCTACAGATGGCCAAAAGAACAGATATATCTGGAGAAAGTGCAGCCAGAATGTTCCTTTGAGGCAAAGATGACAAAGCGTTATCCCACGTGCTTTGGGCATGTTGCTAGGAGAGGCTATTCCTTGGAGAGGGACATGATGCTTGGAAAGGGAGGGTCAGCAAAAGAGGGGAAGACCCTCAAGGAGGTAGATTAACACAGTGACTGTAGCAATGGACTCAAGTGTGTCAGAAATGATGAGGGTGGCGCGCAGGTTAGGGCAGGGTTCAGTGCTGTTGTTTATATGGTCTCTATGAGTCGTCTTCCACTGAACTGCACCCAACAATAACAACAGAGGCATCCTGAAAGAAAAGCCTGGCACTCGACTTCTGAAGACCAGTCACTGAGATAGCTGTGGAGCAAGTGACCAGTGGGGTCACTGCCAGTGGGAATTGATGACAGAAGGTTCTCTCTCTCTCTCTCACACACAGACACACACACACACACACACACAGAGCAGGAGTGAGGGAGGGAATGAGGGAGGGAGCGAGGGAAGGAGAAAGAGAGAGAAAACTGTATTTCTGCACTGGAGGGAGGAGAGAACACAATGCATTAAACTGTAAAGGGCTGTAGGTTCTTTCTCCGGCATCACCTGTTTTGTGTGACTTCAGGTAATCATTCCATCCCTCAGCACAGCTGGAGCAGTCCCTCAGCCGCTTCTCAAAGAGGTCGCTTTATGTGCAATTGGCATTTGGGAGACTGATGTTCAGAACCTCAGAAGAAAGACTCCAGAATCACACTTTAGTCCTTGCTCGCATGTAATCAGCTTCTAGGCCTTGCCTGAGATGTCCTGAGGAGTCCTTCTTTAGTGGAAAGGGCCAGCACAGCATTGTGGCCATGGCAGCCTTCTCAGGAGCCTCACGGAGCTTCTCCAGCAATTTTCCTGAGAGGTTTTCACAAGAGAGACAGAAAGCAAGGATTATCGTTTGATCAGAGGAAGAAATTGGGACACACAGGGGCCAGTGGAGACGGGAGGCAGTCCCTGGTCCTTCCAGGACATGAAACGTACACTGAAAGCTCAGTTGCTCAGCCTACTGTTAGGTTTGTCCCTGGTTTTTCTTCCCCCCACTCTCTTCCTGCTTGTGAGAAAGGAACTTCAAAGCACTGAATCTGAGAGCTGCATCACATAAACATTTACACGAAATAGGATATTTCTTTAAACCCTAAACAAACAGAACCCGAACTAACATGTTTTGAAGCAAAGTTTGGTCTCCATTCCACTGTCATTCTGACTCAGAGTGGCCCTTCATTGCACGTAAATCTTTATGGAAGGAGACTGACCATCTTTGTCTCCCAGTAGCTGAGGATTCTAACTGCAGTGAAACACCTAATGGTTTGAGCCAGCAGAACTCCCTGGGTTTGGGCCCAGCACCTGCAAATGGCAGCAAGCAACAGGGAGAAAGAAAAAGAGGAGCCTGCTGATCTAGGGCTGGCCATCTCTCTGAGTAAGGCGTGTGGCAGCAGCTCTGGGCTTCCTCTGTCACTCAAGTATGAACATGTTAGATCCCGAGTAGCTCTGAACTTGCCCAGGCACCTTGACCTTGCTCTCTGAGCAGGGTTTGGGAAGCATGAACAGAAAAAAAGGGAAGTGGGATACGAAGAAAGAGGAAATTATCCTTCAAAGTGAACATCTCCTGAGACTTCTTTGCCCTAAAAAGCCACTGGAGAAACAAGATGGTAACAGGTGTTCGCTCTCAGTCATTTGGTGCAACCAAATACTTGGAAGACTTTGCATGGGCAGCCAGGAAGTGCACGCGTTCCAGTTGTAAACTGGAGACCGAGGATTGGATTGCACCTTTGTCTCGGGCTGCTCAGCTGGGCCAAAGTTTCAGGTTGGAGGTGGAGTGACACCCCCCCCCCCCCCCCATGTAACAGCCAAGACCAAGCTGCTGGAAGTTCGCTTGACGCCATCATTCAGCTATCAATCCCTGGGCATTATGCTTCGGGTCTGAAAGCTCAAAGTTTCTAGTCCTATCTTTCCAGTTATGATTTTAATTATTCAAGACAGAGAAACACAAGAAGTGGGAGGAAACCGTAAGCCTCTTTCCCCACGTAGGAAACTCACAGTGCACTTCCTTCCCGCCCAGGTTAAAACTTCCCCAGTTGTCGAGTTGCCAGGACAGGGGCAGGGCCGCAGGATTACGCAGGGCTCACTGTGAGCCCCCAAACTGCTTGAGCAAGGTTGAGGGAGTTTGGGCAAGATCTGGGGAGACCGTTGTATCACCCTAAATGTGCAAAGCGTGTAGGAATTGTCCAGAGGGTATTTGCTCTCCAGGTCCAGAGCTGGGTGGGAGGGAGTAGGCAAAACAGCAGAGGGGGCTGGGCTCACCTTGGGCAACGCCGCCGAGCACCCCACCCCAAGTTGGCACATCCGCTCGGTGAGTCCCCAGCCACCCCGGAGGACGTAGGGGCGAGGCCGAGCTGAGGAGCGTGGCCCGGACACCTGTCCCCCACGGCCAGCGAGCGGCAGCCCAGCCGTGGGCCGGAAAGGCGGGACGCCGTGCGCCTGGCGAAGGCGGCCACCTGGGCGCGCGGGGCGGCGCTTGGAGGCGCGCGGCGCACCTGTTG